ACAAAACTGCGCATAATGCAGTTAGGGGTCGGTGATTAAACTGTCAAACACCAAGCGGTCACCGGTGACCGCGACCTATTGTTCTTTAATTGTGTCTATAAAACCGGTACTCGACGAGTTAATCACCTGTTTGATATAACAATATATACACGTGATATTTTATTACACCCCCCGTTCCCCCTGTGATGTTTTGCGATTTTTTTGACACTGTACTATGTAGCACCCACTTTTCACTATTTATGTTATGAGTCCCATGTTATACGGGGTGAGCCTATTGCCATATACCGGGCACATTTTCAGACTCTGTCCTACTACTGAGGTTGTTTTAAAAACCCAGTAATACTTTGTCCGACTCGGGAATCGAATTCCAGACCCCTTGTCCGGCAGTCGCACTTGCTATTATTGAGTCGAACTAAAAAAAATATCAAAGAAATTTCCAAAATAACTGGTAGTGTCAAATAAATTACTAAAAGGATGTTAATTGCAAGTGACAATCTTTTGCTGAAAGAACAAGATGGCCGCCTAATTAAGTTATTTCGTTTCAAAGGTAGTCAGTTTGTAGCGAAAAAATATAAAATTAATTTTCCCAACTTAGAATATAAAGAAAAAACTTCTATTTTCACTTTTGGTTCCTTAATTCTAGATATTGTAAAGAAGGCTGTGTTTTCGAAGCTTAATTTTTAGGTCATTTTTTAGGTTTCCCTTTATAGTTTTTTTCTTGTCGTATATAAATTATTTTGTGGCGTTATTTATTACAATAAAATGGTTTCATTTTGATGTAGAAGAAGCCTTTATATTTTGATATTTTTTTATTTCGTTTTAATGTAATAACACTTTTTTCTTTATGTTTATTTTTATACGTTGCCGCACACCAGAATTTTCTCATGTGTTACGACACAGGGAGTATTTAACGTGTAAGTACGTATGCGTTTACAAACTTACAAGTTCACATATACATGACACCCAGACCCGAAACAATAATCTATGTATCACACAAAGAGTTGTTCAGTGCGAGAATCGTACCCGTGACACGTTGCACGGCAGCCAGTTACCCAACCACGGCGCCAACCGTGCAGTCATCAATCGTGCATCATCCATCGTTAATAACACCGAATGAAATATAGTACCAAATCCTACCAGTATTAACATTTTATAAATTATAAAGCTGTATAATATTATACATATGGAGACAAATCATTACATATTTTTTTAAACAATTGACTATGAGGCCGTGGTACCACTCCGGTCGAGCCGGCCCATTCGTGCCGAAGAATGGCTCTCCCACTCTTGATCATATTTATTATATTAGTTTACATCGATAAATATTTAAATGGTGTTAAGGATTCATTACGAAAAACAAATTGAAGTACATATTAACAAGTGTTGCAGAGCAAATTAAACTTAATTTAAACGGTTGAATAACCTGTGAATGTCTTACATTACTCGCGAGCCAATCAGCTTTGTTTCAAGCTACAACGATTCTTGAATATTAATGTATTAAATTTATTTGTAACGATCTTTCTAATATATCTATGTATTTATTTATTGCAAACAAATTGGGACATAAATATTGATTAGAAAATATTTTACGAGTTTGAAACCAAATATATCTTTTTAACTAATTTTATGGCGCTACTATCGGTTTAAGCGCTAACGGGCTACCGGGGCTCCGGCTCGAAATGCAGGAGTAGAAACGGGGTATTTTCAGTCAGTAAGAGTCTGACACTCCCTCCCGCCTCACCTAGGCGGGAGAAGTCATTCGATGATTTTCCCCCGTTAAAAAACCTGGTCTAAGGTTTAAAAACATCAGAGTCATATATAGTAGAGTCATAAACCTCGTTATTCTTGAAATACGACCCGATGAGAGACGTTAAAGGTCGTATGTACCGTTATTCACGATGTAAGTGTTATCTTAATGATGTAATAAAGTTTCATAATATGAATAATAATGGGGGCTTATTAAACCTAGATGTTTTAGTGGTCAGAAGACGGGGTTCTGAGGAGGTAGCAGGTTCTTGCTAGCAATTTTTACCAGTGCAGTACAAGACATTCACTTTTTACATAGACAGATGATGGAATAAAGGTCGCAGGCCGCTGCATGCAGGTGGTTTGCAGTTGACTAATCTGGAAAACAATGAGAGATACCGATGGTTGGTATTTGACATGATAACGTAACTGACTTATGTGTAACTATCGACCCGCCACGGCTTCGCACGGGTGCAATATGCATGTATTATACATATAAACCTTCCTTAAGAATCACTCTATTAAAAAAACCGCATCAAAATCCGTTGCGTAGTTTTAAAGATCTAAGCATACATAGGGACACAAAGTCGGCGGATAGCGACTTTGTTTTATACTATGTAATGACAGAGACATTTGTTTCAAATTTATTATACCAACCAATGGTTCTTAATCAATCCCAATATTTAATTTTATCGATTTTAAGTTCAAATCTAAGGATTCAAAGAAAGATAGTGAAGCATTTAATTAAATATTTAACCAAACAACACAATAACAGTGATACACAACGTTTCATTGGAAAAGCAACCATTCAAAAATGCAAATCTCCAACGTATTACCAAAGACATAACGTTGAAAATCGCTGCAATATCGGATAGAGAGGAAAATTACATTGTGACTGTAAATAATAGATCGATTCAAATCGATTCTCGTTAAAAGAAGTTCTATCGGACCTTGAATGGAGAACTGCAATCAATATTTGTCATATTGTATCGATGTGGGGACGGGGTGGATTCTGTTGTATGTAAAGTAAAATGAATATTGTTGGAGAGGTTTTCGTTCAAACTCAAACTCTTTATTTGCATGTTAAGGTAATACATACAGGTCTTATGAAATAACAGGCACAGCTTAACGGCCTTTTTCAGGCGTTGCAAATTTCAGGAGTGTCACCAGCTTACTATAAATTACATTTTGGTTAACATTTTTTTACATATTTATTTGTTCGGAATATATATGATATATATATGATTCGGAATATGTATAGTACCTAAAGTTCTAAATATAAATAAAGATAAAGTGTATTATTCCTCCATATTTATACTCTTTGGTATATTGTCCCTTGTCTCTTGTGAAAAATCCTTCATATAGAGAAGCAATAGGAATGGGAAAAGTCATAATGAGGTCGTTACTCTTGGTCAAGACGATTTAAAACTAACATACACAACACAGTTCAAGATTATACTACAAATTAATTCTTTCTTTTAACATACATATCATCATGCCTTTTATGCCCGAAGGGGTAGACAGAGATGCACAATAAGGCATTTAATGCTACAGTATAATGTAACACCCACTTTTCACTATTTATGTTTTGAGTGGGGTGAGCCTATTGTTATATACAGGGCTCCGTGCTACTACTACTACGTACTACTACGTACCAGCGGGATTTTTTTTTAAAAATCCTGTAATACTTTGCTCGACCCGGGAATCGAACCCGAGACACCTTGCCCGGTAGTCGCACTTAAGATCACTAGGTGAACTAGGCAGTCTGCATCTTTCTTTTATTTCTTGTATATTCATATTTTCTAATGCAAACTGTCCCATTTTTCCTAGTGGCATCAAAACAATTGTTCCTGTCAAATTCAAAGTCAAAATCATTTATTTCAATTAGACCAGAAAGGCACTTTTGAACGTTAACATAAAAATTAAAAGTGAAGCTGTTTGTTCATTCCAAGGTGTAGATTCCTATGGAGAAGAACGAGCAAGAAACTCCATAGGTTTACTCTTTTCAATCAGGTTCACAATAAAATTCTCTAGTTACATAGTTTTATTGTTTGGATTGTGCGAGAACAATGTAACACCAAAATACAGTCAAAGAGATCGAAAAAAATAACCTTAAAGGACAGTAAAAAAACTGACATTTGTAATTGTATTGACATTAGTAAAATAGACTTAGTCTAGGCCCTAGACTAAGTCTATTTTAGACTCTAGGGCAATTCACTTGCATTCAATAGGTTCCTCAGGTCAGACACCAGAATAGGGTGCTGCATAGTAAAATATTAAATATGGCTGTCTAATGTGTCTATATTCTGTGTCAGTTACATTTCTGACAAAAGTTTCAGTGTGTCTGTGTTGTTATGGTTGGTCAGTTCTAGTAGAGTGTTAGGCAGTGAACTATTCTTTTTTGTAGTATTTTGTGAACTTTGTATAGGGAAAATTGTAGTGGGTATGTGTATTGAGTTTTGATTGCTCCATCGCACAATTGTTATGAAAATCAATTCAGTTCAAGATTTGTTTTAACTAAATCTAAATCTTTAAAAATACCTAATGTTTTTATAATAACTATCGTGAGACATACTAAGTTAAGTAAAAACGCGGGTTACTCACGTGAATATACTGAGAAAAGCTCTACTACTCGCGGGTGAGTTGCGCGACGTCGGTTTGTAATTGTCATTTGATTAATGATTATTTACCATTCAAAAATTTATTAAAAAGACACTAGATCTTAAATACAAGGTCCCGGTGCCTTCTTCAGGTGCGGAAGATGGCCCCCGGGGAGGTTTAAGTGAGGTAAAAATCCCAAACTCCCTAGTTTTCCCCAAAAAGCTAGGCGCCTTTTGAAGGTTTCCGCCGTCAACAAAAAAAAAAAAAATATCTTAAATACAATACTTTTTGCTGTACACTAAAAATATATATGAAATTACTGTATTATTTTCCTTAAGGTTATTTTCTTTTTTGATCACTTTGACTGGATTTTAGTGTTACATTGTTCTCGCACAATCCAAACAGCAAAACTATGTAACTAGTAAATTATATTGTGAACCTTATTGAAAAAGAGTAACCTATGGAGTTTCTTGCTCGTTCTTCTCCATAGGAATCTACACCTTGGAATGAGCAAATAGCTTCTCTTTTAATTTTCTTTTTGTTGAAGTTCAAAAGTGCCATTCTGGCCTAATTGAAATAAATGATTTTGATTTTGACTTTAATTTTGAAAGTAGATAATGGTCTAAAAATTAAACATCGTCTTTTGTCTCCAGGCGTGTGGCCAGCTGAAAGTTTAGAAGGACCTGCAACTGTCCGTGGTAGCTCTGTAGACTACGCCGCGGCCCTGCTGCTTGCTGCAATGGCCGCCGTACTTCTAGCTGCTGTGGGCTACCAATGCGCTGCTACCTGGAGGTGGATTATGGGCAGGTCAGTAGATATAGTTTGAACTGTTTAGGGATTTGGATGACCTTGGAACTGTATGAATGATGACCTTGGAAATGTCGTGGTGGCCCGGAGGTTTAAAACCCCCGCTTCTCATGCACGAGGGCGCGGGTTCGAAACCTACCGATGGCAAGTACCACTGTGACTTTTTCCGAGTTATATGTACTTTCTAAGATTATTCAGACACCACTGACAAACGGTGAAGGAAAACATCGTGAGGAAACCTGGGCTTATAATTTCTAATTATAAGTTTGTAATCACCAACCCACATTGAGCAAGCGTGGTGACTAATGCTCAAACCTTCTCCGTGTGAGAAGAGGCTTTGCTCAGCAGTGGGCATTTATAGGCTGTTGATGATGATGGACCTGTAAGTGGAAGGCTATAAAAGAGATGGTTGGATAGTGTAAGAATGTGATGGTAGGAAGTATCTAATGAACTCACTAGCTATTCAAGATCTTTGACTTTTCACCGTTATCTTAAAAAATAATGACCTAGAATTAAAACCTAAAAAATTGTTATAAAATAATGATGAACGAGATCTTACTTAGAGTTTACATAAAATAAGAAAATGATCTTGAGATGTAAAAATAAGTTTAATACTTGGTTCCGCTTCTGTAATTTTAATTCCACGTTTCGTCATCCATATAAAACATTTCTTATTTTTCTGACCACATCACAAATTACTTGGATTATAATTATGTCATTTTGCGAGTTTCTGTACGAAATGGTGGGTGATTCACTTCCTCTCGTAAATGATATCTGTCATTCACATTTATACAAACAAAATATTTATTTCCTTCAACTTCACACTTCTCTCTTCACTTTAAATATTTAAATATTACGCTTCAGATATCGGAAGTGAGATGTTTAAACGTTGGATGCATGTTTATCAGACATTTTGCCGTTGGCAGTGAGATGACATTTTAAATATTTGCTCTGAGAATATTTTTGGAATTGGACTCCATTTTCGCATATTTGACAATAAGAGCAGTTCCTTTGACATTTAATTTAAAATATTACGTTTAGTTTTCATTTAGTTTTGAAGAAATGCAAGTTATTTGTTCACGTTTTATTTTATGAAATGAGAAATGTTGGTTCTTTTTGATGTTTAAGTATTTTTTATTGAAATTAATTAACAGATATTCTGATTTGATGGTTATATTACAAGAAATAAAATATTTATTGCTTTAAATGAATAAGGCTTGAAAACTCACAATATTTTACACAATCAATAAGGTACCTTGCCTTATTGCAGTTAGGATTCATTTTACAAATTTAACTAAACCAAACTGTAGCTGTCATACTGTTGCTCTTGTTACAAAAATCACTACATTTCTTGTTTCTTTCTAACCTTTTATTTCTTTATCTTCCACTATCACATAGTTTTACGACTTTTTTAACAGATCACTTTGGTGTAGGACCCGTCGGGATTCGGAGGAGAGTAACTGCGACTCCCTCTCTCGCCAAGCTGCCATCCGCATCAGTCACTCTCTACCTGACCTCCAGACTGAACCTCTGAAGCAGGAGTACGTCCAGGAGCATAAGGATCCTGCTAAGAAGGTAAGAAATATAAATTAGTTTTAAGTACTACTTGATGACGAGGGATACTTTCAGTATGTGTTAAAATTTTTGGGGATGAAATTAGGAATTTTAATTTTTAATTTATTTACCACCTTTTCATTCATTAATCGCTTCTGCCCGCGACTTCGTAGGCGCAATCCCGTTTTCTCCCGTTCCCGTAGGATCATAAGAACCTTCTCCTAATAATACAATCCTAATAAAACAAAAAAACGAATTAGTGAAATCGGTCAAGCCACTCACGCGTAATGCCGTGAACAAGGGAAAAAGGGATTCATATAAATATATTTAAGATTTAGAATCACTATATCAGTTTTTTACCATTATGCGACTTTGTATGGAGAGACTTCCAGAACTTGCTTACATAGGCACAAAAATCTCGCTAGCACAATCCTGAAAGCGGAAACTATACAATTTCGTCTAAGTTAATTTACATAAATAAGAACTTTACCTACCTATGTTGATTTATGTATTAAGTTGTAGGTAAAACAGGTCCAAACTAGAACTCATACAATAGGGCTAAATACTTCTATATTTGTGGAGACTGTTGTAGCCCTATCTTGTGGTATTATATAGGTTTTCTTAAATATGTGTCGCTTCCAACCGTCCTATCTGGAAGTCATTGGGGGAGTCCTATGTTCAGCAGTGGACGTCCTATGGATAATATGATGATGATGATGATGACATACGTGTCTCTGAATACATATAACACAACAATTTAACCGTAAGTTCAGTGACTGCCTCGTTGGCCGAGTGGTGACAAGTGCAACTGCCGGGCAAGATGTTGGGCAATGCATAATTGGGCCTCCGGTAACCTCACTCACTTGACAAAACACAACGCAAGCGTTGCTTCACGTCAGTTTTCTGCAAGGTCGTGGTATTACTCCGATCGAGCCGGCCGAAGCATGGCTTTCCCACAATCATCAACAAAATAATATTGTTTCAAACACATTTGAACAGAAAGCGCGAAGTTCGTCTCTCTACTCTTTAACTCTTTCATCGATATGTCCTTGGCCCACTTCGGAAACTCATATTCATTATTTATGATATTGCAAAATATATTCCGGCTGCTTCCCCGAAGACAAGAAATTTGATGTGTCGTGAATTTTAATACCTGATATGATATTCATAGTAGGTACTTTACACATTTCACACATACTCAGAGGGCATCGACCTTTCGAAAAATGAGTATTAAAGCATTAAGGGCAACCTTTTTTTTGGCATTTATCTTTGGTTCAAGATATTTACATGTTTTTATTATTTTTTGTCACGTTTCGTATGCGTGAAATGTCGGTCATATTTGCCCTTTTGGGACGTTAAGGATAAGATTTCGTAACCACTTAGAGGCTGAAGTAGTCTCGCCTGTTGTTAAGGGGTAGATATTAGGCAAAACATATTTTTGACTGCCTCGTTGGCCGAGTGGTCGCAAGTGCGACTGCCGGGCAAGGGGTCTCGGGTTCGATTCCCGGGTCGGGCAAAGTATTACTGGGTTTTTAAAAAATTCTCAGTAGTAGCACGGAGTCTGGAATTGTGCCCGGTATATGGCAATAGGCTCACCCCCTATTACATGGGACTCATAACATAAATAGTGAAAAGTGGGTGTTACATTGTACAGTGGTATAATGTGCACCTCTGCCTACCCCTTCGGGGATAAAAGGGGTGACGTTATGTTATGTGTGTTATATTTTTTTGTTTTGAAGGGAAAAGTCCATCCAATGTCTTCTCCCGCCTTGGGTTAAGCGAGAGGGAGTGTCAGAATCATACTGACCAACCAAACCAATAATACTTTGTCCAACCCATACCAAGCTTCAATTACATAACTTAAACCAATATCTTTTATCTTCTTTTTACATAGAAAGAACAGTTACACAACCATTTTCAATTTCCTCGCATAGAAACAAAAGGGTTACTTGAAACTTTGTATGAGTTCAGAAATTTCTGGTAACTCCGAAGTTGTAAAGGTAATCAAATATCACCGGGACGACTAGTCGAGACAGATTGATCGATCCTTGCGTTTGCTAGAAGTCATTTTGTACTCGTAATGTGCGAATAATTTGATTTGGGTGGGAGTGTGGGAGAGCCATGCTTCGGCACGAATGGGCCGGCTCAACCGGAGTGATACCATGGCCTCACAAAAAATTAACCTGATACAATTGTTGCGTTGGCTTTCGTCGTGTGAGTGAGGTTATCGGAGACCCAATTACCCCCTTCCCTAGTCTCCCGAATCCACGAATCCTCAAATTCCCAATTCCCAAAAGGCCGGTAACGCACATGTAACACCTTGGTGTTTCGGGCGTCCATGGACGGCGCCGATTGCTTACTATCAGGTGATCCGTCTGCTCGTTTACCGGCTTATGCTAATATATAAAAAAATCTGTACATTATCCTGTTAAATGATTGATTTGCCAACGTATACTTTGTGTGTAATTGATGTGGATAAAATATCTGTATGGCAATAACTATACATAACGTCATGTGTGTGTCTTAATCAGTTACGTTGCTTCCATATTGAGAAACATTCATAGTTTAATTGGTTTTGATCTTTAGACCTGATCTTTAATATATCTTTATCTTTGTAGTAATTTACTGAACCTTTCCTCATCAGATGTCTCTGTCATAGTATCCTTTATTTTAGTCGAAACAGCGCTAAAAACTATTAAGTAGTTTATGAGTAAATACCTGCATATAGACAGCTTTAAGGGATTCTTTTTTATAATAAATGTATTGTTAAACATGATAATTGTATGCACGAAACCATGCTTCAATTGAGCATTTGTCACTTAGAAGCATAATTATGTCTCGGAATGTTGCTCAAAAGTAGAATACTTATTTCAGGCATGTTTGGGAATCGACAGGAGTCCGATTTATAAAAAAAATTGAGAATGCTCAACTTTTAGCATTTCAGCTTTTAGCATGCTATTTTAGACACGGTGTAAGATATCTTCAAAGTTTGTATAGATTTCTAGTTAAGTTAATTAAACTGTCAAACACCAAGCGGTCACCGGTGACCGCGACCTATTGTTCTTTAACTCGTCGAGTACCGGTTTTATAGACACAAAGAACAATAGGTCGCGGTCACCGGTGACCGCTTGGTGTTTGACAGTTTAATTGTGTCTATAAAACCGGTACTCGACGAGTTAAGACAAAAACATCAAATTAGGGCTTACGAAATACTAAGGTTAAAATGTTTTGTTTCCTTCTAGTCTACCTGTCAGCTCGACTGATTTTGGACATCTGACTGACATGTACAAGGATGACAGGCCTTGTGTAATACACGCCTTAGGTTTTGGTGCTTAGGTTAATACTTTTGACCTACATTTAATTCTTAGTAAGGATAGCTCGCCGCCCGACTAGAACCAGATCGTGGAGGTGAGGCTATTGCCATATACCGGGCACAAATCCCAACGTGCGACTTGAGAGAATTAAAAAAAACAGTAATGCTTTGCCCGACTAGTCGCACTTGCGACCACTCGGCCACCGAGGCAGAAACACCCAAAAGGCTTATTTGGAAAAAGGTTTTTTTTTTAAGTGGGGTAAATCATCGAATGACTGCTCCTGTCTGGGTGAGGCGGGAGGGAGTGTCAGACTCACCACCCCGTTCCTTCTCCTGAACGTCGAGCCGGAGCCTCGGTAACCAGTTAGGTTCTCCGCGACTTGGAAAAAGGCTTAAGATGAGAATAATTATCTTCAGTTGCACACTACTTCAATCGTCCACTAGAAAAGTACTAACCTTCCTTTAGAATTATCTGGAAATAGTTGCTCAGCACTAACTGCAGAGCAACTAAAAAGTTTAGGGTCTAATTCCTGGGTCTGTAAAACACTTTTTTCTTTAGATTTATGAAACTTATAAAATTTTACAAAACGTTATTTTGCTCGGAAGCGTATTTAATGTCGTTAATGTGTGACAACAGACTCATTTTCTATTAAATAAAATTCATAATCTAATCTGTAAAAGATTTTAATTATGTTGGTAAATAGCAGAAAAAAATTGTAAATTTTTTTAAAACATGATTTCCATTCACCAATGGCAAACAACCATGTAAATATCCCTTGATAACCCCCAGCCCATAGGGTTAAGGTCGTTTTGACCCCTAATGAACAAATAAGGGTTGAATTGCTTCGCGAAATTGACCTTTAAGTCGGTTCAGATGTTTTATTGATTGGTTCCAAAGGGAATTTTAAGTACTTTGGGATTTACGATTTTTTTAAAGATTATGTTTTCTGGAATTGGATATTTGAGTTAAATAGTTATATCGTCTATTCAATGTTCAATAAGTTTACGTAGATTAAGGCTAATTTATATGAAACGGTAGTAGAATATTATCATCTTAGAGTGTGTCCACACCTGGAAAATGTTTCGCGAATGTGCAGTTCGCGAGCCGTTTGCAAGCTACGCGCGTGCATATTAAATTATTATTTATACGAGCCTTGCATGCGTCGCACTAAAGAGGTGCGCCAAATCACTGCCGTGACTGCACGCGAGCTACATATTCACGAAACATTTGCCAGATGTGGACGCATAAGAGTGTAAAGGACACACGGTCCAGTTATTCGACTGGTTCCAATATCTGATAATAGTTTTTTAACTATCGTTGCCCCACACTAGGAATTTCTCCTGAATCGTGTGTGCGTATCAGACTTACAAATTCACATACACATGACATCCAAACAAGTACCAAGTTGCTCAATCACGGCACCAACCGTGCAGTCATAACAAAAAAGAAAACAGGAGATACAAAACAAAACAAATAAACACACACATAGCATCACGCCTTTTTATCACCGAAGGGGTAGGCAGAGGTGCACACAGAAGTAACACCCACTTTTCACTATTTATGTTATGAGTCCCATGTAATAGGGGGTGAGCTTATTGCCATATACCGGGCACATTTCCAGACTCCGTGCTATTACTGAGATTTTATTTAAAAACCCAGTAATACTTTGTCCGACCCGGGAATCGAACCCGAGACCCCTTGCCCGGC